GCATCTTTCCCATCAAGTGTCATCGCGTCCCTCTCAGGGAAGCGCACAAACTGCTCTGATCTGCTCCTGTACCCAGAGACGTCGCGTCACCCCTGCATATACCTGCGCCAAGGCCAGACCCAACAGCGGCACTACTGCCGTTCCCTACGCCCCAAATCTGGTCTAGGAGCATCCTGTCACTGTGGAAGTGAGAAAAATTCACTTTTGCTTTCAGCTCTGTTACTAATCATCTGTTTCATATGTGTAAGTTAAACTCACCTTTTTCAAGTCTCAGGGTTTTCTGTCTTGCTTTAACTCACATCCTCACCCTGTATTTCCTGTTTAGATACAAAGTGTTTAGGGAGAAGCACCTATATTACATAGAATCATAGAATCATTATGGTTGGAAGAGACCTCAAAGATCATCAAGTCCAACCGTATACCCGATGCCACCGTGCCCACTAAACCCACTAAACCATGTCTCGAAGCGCCACATCTAAACGTTTTTTGAACACCTCCAGGGATGGTGACTCCACCACCTCCCTGGGGAGCCCGTTCCAATGCCTAACGACTCTTACAGTGAAGAAGTGCTTCCTAATATCCAACCTGAACCTCCTCTGGCCCAACCTGAGACCGTTCCCTCTCGCAGATATCCCTTAGATATGTTTACATTATGATGAAAACAAGAGACTCCCTTATTGCAGAGGTTTATAATGTATGCCAACAGTAATATATCTGGAGATTAGTTTTAAGATTGAGGGATTAGCAATGATAAACATCATATTGCCTCCTTTGATGATACCTAGGGGGGAGTCATCTCCTTCCAACTGATTTACGATATATCAAAATTCAAATGTATGTGAGAGAGTCTCTCAGATGGAGATTCCACTTAAGGTTCTAATTTCATCGAAGCCTTACAAGGCCATCCATCCCACTGTCCTCTCTCTCATTGTGTTCTCTGTGGAGACACCTTGCACTTTAAACTCGACAAAGAGCCTCTACAGAGACAGAGGGGAAAAGCGCTGAGGTCACTGACCACTTCTTTTACCCTTATGGTCAGTATCGGAATGGTCCCACTGCCGAGGCAGCCACTTGAAAAATAATATGCTGGAAGCACACATTTCTTTAACATAACCAACAACTTGCCTTCCATGGAAGGAAATTTATGCTAATGATTTTTCTCTTAGATTTTGCAAAGCAGCAGTTATTATGAATTAAAAAGCCGAAGTTATTGTCAGTCACTTTGTAACATTAAAAGGTTGGCAGACATACTTCAGACTAGGTGTGCAGGTCATTTTTGTCCATGTGCCCGCTGTAATTCTGGTGCAAATCCACTGTCAATGAAACTAGTGAAAAGCACTGCTTGCTGATTAAAAAAAAATTGGGGAAACTTGGAGTATAAATTAGGTGTCTGAACCTACTGATAAACGTGATATATGAGGTCATTTCAGAAACCACTACTTCAAGCTACTCATTTTGTGTGGATGCAGACATCTCAGTTCGTATCTGACTCTGTGGGACATAGGTATGTGTGTAAGTTTGTCATATGTTGTGGATGACATTTAAATGATTTGTCCAACTTGATAAAAATTAACACATCGATCCCTTTTAACCAGCTGAACTGTACTATGTGTTGCCTGGAAAGTATTTTTTTTTCCTTTGCCTTTTTTACATCTTTTTATTTTTGTTCGAGGATTACTCGCTCAGGAGTTTCTCAGGGCTTACCCTGGTTTTTCCCTTCTAACAGGCATGCAGCACCACAGACAGTTAGGTACATGATGTATTATTTCCAACCGGCTGTTGTAGCAACTTGAAGACATTTGAAATCATCAATACAAAGGAGTAGGAGGTACAGCAGAAACCGACTTCAGGCAGCTCAGAAAGGTAAAGCAAACTTGCTCCACTGCACATAGTGACATACCAAAATTGTGTTATTTTTTTATTGCATGGATAACACTTTACAGCTGTCGTTTTTCTGCCAGTTGATATTTAGAATATAAAAATAGTATATACAATTCTAAGTTTGTGTGTGGGTATAATTCACAATGGATAGTTTAGGGTTCTAATTCTGCAAGTATACTACATTTTTACATAAGCTCCAATAAAGGCAACTCTTTTTGTCCAGTTACATAAATTTGATGAAGTAGTTTGCTAAATTGTGGGCCAAAGAATGCATCTGATTATTTATCATCAAAATAATAAATTACATAAGAAATGAAAGATTAGCTCAGCATCTCTATCCAGGCTAGTATTCTGCCTCTAGCAATGGCTTGTAGTGAATACTTCAAAAAAACCCCAAACCCAGGAGGAGGATAGGGAAAGCCCAAGTGATACCTCACCTGTGTATCCTCATGTCTTGTGGCAAAATGCAGCTTGAGGAGTCTGAGCCAGAAATTGTATCCTCATCTTTGTATTTTAACTTTCACAACGAGAAGGTGGCACATGTCTTTCCATCCATGCTCCAGACCTAGTATAGAGGAATGTCTTCGTGCAAAGTCAACTCATTCACTTCATCCTAAGAGTTTAACATGTTTTAGTTTGCTTGTGTAACTCGTATGTACCCTGGCATGTCAGTGGAGCTACTGTCTTATATAAAGTTTATAGAGTCTGGCCTTACCTTTGTCCAAGTTATTCTGCCTGTGCAACAGCTATCTTTCTGCCTTTAGTATCTTGGCTGCTTTCAAATGTTTCAAAGTGATTAAGGCAACACTGAAGTCTATTTAACTGCTCCACGTGTTTCCTTTGAAGTGAAATACTGTGTTTTATACTTCAAAGTCAACACAGTAGACCTTTATAGGAATTCAGACACACATTCCTAAATTTGGCGACAAGAAGTTTGAGCAGGAGAACTATTTATTAAGTGCTAGTGTAAATTTTAAGTTTACTCTTCAAATTCTAAAAATAAAAATTAGGATTCTACCAGAATTGCTGATAAACCTTAACTCTAATGGCCTGATCATTCCTGTATGATTTAGTTCCAAAGAATACATTTTCACTGCTTCCTTGATGTCAAAGGGCTGTTTCTATATTTATAAAATGATGGGCCCCACAGAAGCGAAACTGTTTTCTGCAAATGGAATCCTAATGGCTCTTATTGATTCCATTAAAAAAAGAAGGTGCTGCTTCCTTTTCTTTGCTACAACCATGTAGATGCTTATTTTATTTGGTTATTGATATTTTGAGGTCCGTATATCATTAGATTTTTACTAAAATATAAGGGATCCTAATAGTCATATAAATCTACCTTTTTAAAAAAAAGGTTTGTCAATCTCTTTGAAAATAATAGAGCGCCAGCTGTTGGAAGGCACTCTCCTGTTACTCGAAGTACTCTTTACTAAAATAATCCACCTCATTTACGCAAACCTGGTCTCGTTGTAAATATCAGCAAAGAGGGAGATCTAATTTTAGCCACCAAATTGCCTTCCTGCTTTTAGGCTGACATCTAAAACAACAACCTTCAATTTGATAAACTAAAAACATTCCACAAGAATCTATTGCAGGTTCTGAGGTAAAAATCACATCTACACAGACCTTTTATTGCCTGAAAAAGAAATACTTACACTTCATAATTAAAAACTAAACAGGGCACATAAAAGACAAAAATAAATTGTAATATGTACACACATTAGAAAGGATAAATAGCAAATATATTGTAATACTGCATTAAATGTATGCATATGTGAATTCCAGACCCGCCCCCCCCATGTTGTGTACATTAATTCAAAGGATAAATAAGTGCTAATATAAGACAGAATTTCTTAGTGTAAACAACGCCACAGGCTTTTTAATAGGCCTTTGGGCCAACTTAGAAAAACCATGTATTGCCTTTCACACTCCATACCACTTAATTTTAATAGTACTGTATTCACATGTACAATTTCAAGATAGTATAAAAAAATTATGAATCTAAGAAGCATTCTTCACACTCAACAAAACCAGGCTGCAGACACTCTATGGATTTCCCATTCACTTTTACAGGACCACTGCTGAAGACATACTGATTCATCTGGGAGTTCTTCCTCAAAGCAGTGCAAGAGTCCTTAAATGTAAAAAGTCACGTTAGCGATCACTGCTCAAGCCTACTAGTCAAGACTTTTGCACCTAATTTCCATTCTGATTTTGGATCCGCACTAGCATGATGTCGAAGTTGTCACCACTGCCTGCCAGAGCTGAGAAAGATAATGATCCCTCTGGCTTGAATGGCAAGTGACAGCAAGGAGCGTTTCTAAACATGAAGCATTTCATTGCACTCATAGTGTCACATTATTTGTCCTTCAAATCCTGTTTATGTATTTCTGAGGATCCAGAGTATGTCAACATTAAAACCCGAAAAATATATGACTTGTTCTGTATGAATGTTCAATGTATTTTCTTGAAGCATGCTCATCGGGATTTTAAAAAAGACAGCTGAGTTATACTAGGACTAACTTCTGGCAACTGTATTTACTGGCACCAGAGAAAATTACAGTTCTTCACTAAAGTACTGATGACACGAGGACTTGTGGCTTGCTGTCCTTCCATGACAGACCGTGGCCTCTAAAAAAAATCATACATACACAGCTGCTCACTCTCTCAGTTCGTTTTTTTTAAAATAATTTCTCCCACTGGCCAAGTGCATCATTAAGCAGTCCCATCCATTCCACTTTTCTCTGTGGACCCACAAGCGAAGTCTCTCATCCCCCACGCTCTCAGTCCTTTTCACACTCCCTCCTCTCAGTCACCCTCAGTCACAACCCTGTGAAGTCTGATGAGGTCCCGGGAACAGGCTCTCAAGCGATTGTCTTCAGTGCTCCCCGACTTGTGGAGCTCCGATGAAGAAGTCCACAGACTTGTCTGCGTGGGTGAGCCATGGAACCGCCATCTGTCTTAACACTGGCAAACACTTCACGTGGGTTCTCCTCCTACACAAATCATTTGTCCATCGATAAAGACGAGGGCCACATCCTTCATTAACCTTGGGGTAAGCTGTAGCACACACTCATACTCAGTCCAGTTCCAGTGCAATCTCAGGTCTTCAGGACGCAATGATTTCCCCAAAGAAAACTGTTACATGAAATATGGGATGTGGTCAAACAGTTATGGACGATGAAACCTGAAATGATAAATCATTTAAAAACTTAGAATTATGTTATTTCAACTGACAATGACACTCATCCTGCTCTCACAGCTGTTTACTTTTGTTGCCTGAACAGAATAATTTCTGATTTTCCTGGTCTCTGCGGGACTAGAGTCAGCCCCATTATCCTCCACATTCCGTCTCTCTCTACTGGAAACCCCAAGAGGGCTGCAGTGCGGCTCAGGCCCTGGTGTCCGCCTGTCCATACCATTAACCCGTTACTGTGGTCCCTGGCATGGTTTTGCTCGAGTCGAGCAACGGATGCTGCCTGGGCATGGCTGGGGTTAGCACAGGCCCAACACGCAGACTGGGGATGGGGGGACGTCACCCTGTTTTGGGGTGGGGGGAAGAGGTTAACTGTATGAATATTCAAGCTGTGCCAAGCCCGCTGGCCTCAGGGCCGGAGAACAGTCTCCAGTCTGTTTTGTTTGCCAATACAGATTTCGCCACAATTGCATCCACTATTTGGAGATGCTGTCAGTAAATCAGAAAATCTTTGCTAAGCTATAAAACTTAAATTTCTGGTTTTAAGCCTTGTGCTAAATGAGGCTAACAGAAATTTTGGATTTAAGTAAGCAACAGATTTTATAGCACTGCAGATGTCTTCTTCCTATTAACAGCAGCCAACTGCGGCACACGAAGGCCCAAATACCCCTCACTGGTTTTTAGACTTTTAGGTAGGGCATGTACATCACTCCAGATTGCCTGTATGATGGATAGAGGGGTGGGCTGCTCCAAAGGATGTTGCCAACCTTTTCTAGAATAAGTTAGGAGCCTACAGCAATTGAAATTCTAACTCAGCTTAAATGTAATGAATCCAAGCAAACGGGTAAGAAGGGCACGAATATCAGGTGCTCAACATACCTATCACCAGACTTCTAAATCTGTTTAAATGGCTTTAAAAATATATCTATCCATGAAGTAGTAAAGGATGCAGCAATTTTTAAAAAAGCATAGGTAACGATGCACCTAACAGCAGATTTACTTAAGTACAGTACAATACATGGATGAAGTTCTGAAATAAAGGAGGTGTACACAAAAGCTGACACAAGTATGCAGCTCATCTGCTAAGTGAGGGTACAGTGCATTGCAAAAAAGTCATAGGGTTTTTGCATTTGTGTAGAACAACAATATATTGGATGACATAGAGCGTTTCCATTAGAAGCACTTTATAAACATCTACTAATATCCTCTTCCCAAACTTTTATTTATTTCTCTATTTTTAGAAACTCAGTTTCTTGTATTCTGTTATGAAATAACAGAAGGAATCAGTCTAAATTACTACAGAAAAACAGTTCAACTGACAGTCATTACAGTAAATGATGAATAACGAAAACCAGTGTTTTTTTTTTCCCAAGTTTAACATAAAATTTTAACAATTCAAAGATACTGTAAATACTGATTCTAATATTAAAATGTCTTATATTGAATATGTAATAATGTAAGAAACTATATGCTATAAGCTATTTCTGTTTAATAAGCAGCTTCCTTGTCATCTCATTCTATCACAGAACTTCACGAATAAGCCTTTGTTAACCAGCTGCCAATGCAAGTGCCTTTTGGTTTGTATCAACTCAGTGATCTCCTCGAAAAAAATTAAAAGATGAGTAATTCATTCTCGGCTACAGACTTTTGTCTACAGTTTTCTTAAAACCAATCACTTTTGTTCTAACAATCCAAATGCAGTGGTGAACTACGTAATTTTTAATGAGAGGTCCCGGAGGAAATGGAATCTCTTTTTATTTTCAAACTTGCAGTTGACTTGAAACATCTGCATCTAATTCTGCTCTTAATTAGCTTTTTCTAGTGTTACTTTCCTGGCTTCTGTGCAGTGGCTCCACAACGTGACCAGTGAAAAAAAAAGAGGGTGGAGGGGGAATAAGGAAAGCCTGATTTCCCTCAGGTTGACATTTTTCCAGGACCCTACAGAATCATTGCCTATATTTATCACAGTGTGGCTGTGCCTATTTTTTACTCCATTTTCCGAGATCCTCCTCAAAAAATATAATTAACTTTTTAACTGGTTTGTCAGTCCACTGGATCCCTGAGATTTTTGGCTCAGCTTTCAAGAATCCAATTGTAATCAATCTCAACTGTTTTCAGTTCTCATGAAAAAAATATCTGATTCTTTTTGTATGACTCATGTCTATCTGTACTTACGCTTCTATACTGCAATGCAACTCAAAAAATGTAAAAACATAAGCAGAGGGTTGCACTCCATCTCTCAGCACACAGCCAGGTTTCTGTTCCTACTCATTTTCCTTCTCTCCCTTGGGATGTCCATTTTTTTAAAGCAGCATTTTTATATATTCTGAAGAAGACTGACTACCTACTAGCTGAGAAGAAAATGATATCAGAAGCCAAATGAAAAGATACTTATCTCTGTTTGAAAAGGACATTTTCTAATGGTCAGAATGCGACACTAAATTAAAACCTTGCCTCCTAGTTCATCTCCTTGCTTAGGTTTGCTGTCTCTGAAACTGGTTTGATTTTTTAAATATTAATTTATTCATGTTATATCTACACTGGATATATATTATAACAAAAAGTGTTATAAAAAAAAAAAAAATCTATGTTTTGGCGAGAAAAAAAACCCACAAGTTGTGAAATCAAGCAACTAACTAGGAGATGCCAGAAATCACCAAACACCCATCTCCCATTGCGAATTCTCCTTGTGATGCTCTCTTTGATTAGAGGATTCACAGTCACTTGCTTGGATCCTGAGTCTGATTGAAACAGTAGCAGGAAAAGGAAGGGACTTAGTCTTGGGCAATTGTTTTTATTTGACTGGACTCTGTGTAGAAGTGAGGACAATAATACTATGTATGCAATGTTGGCTGATCCTGACAGCAAGTTTTGCCTGATGGTGGCAATTTTCAGCCTTTGTAACTTCAAAAAAAACCCCCGAACAGATGCCATGGGGATGGCAGAAAGCACCTCCCTCCCTCTAGGGGTAACTCTGCCAAATTTGAAGTCCTGCTAAAAACTGTGGATACTTCAGAGCTCTTTAAATAACAACACTCCAGAAAATACCTTGGTGTTATCCAAAGCAAAGAACAAAACAAATCAGATGAACACATCAGAAGTAGCAAACCGGGAATATCAGAATCTGTCTTGTTCCCCAGAAACTGCTGCCAGGAGCCTAGGTGACCCTTAGGAAGCTCCCCAAAACACTAGTCAGCTTTTCTGAAGTCCAATACATCACCGAGTTTTTCACTTACCAAACACATCTACAAAAACGAATACTTTCATGAGCCAGGGAGTACCGCCAGAGAAGGACGTCCCTTTTTTGTGCTTGAGGACTGTGAACTTCATCTGCGAGAAATGCCGAGTCCTTTCAAAGGATTACTTTTTAGATTTCCCAATCTTCTTCCATGGAGCAACTGATCCATTGCGGTCACCCTCACTGCTGTACCAACTACCCAACTTCAGGGATGGCACCAGCAACACTGCGAATCCCAACAGAATCAATGGTGGGATTCAGGTGGGATTCAAGGGGCCTCATGGTAAGAATCTACGCAAGTCATGACACAACTGCAGAGGACTTTCAGAAAAGCAGAGGGTTGCTGTCATACTCATCTCTCCAGCTTATGCAAGAAGAGGGATTCACCCACCTGGTAAATTGCCGACTTTCCTCATGTACTTCCATTTCTGTGCTTTTAAATTCATTCAGTTCTTTCCGTATTGCTGCCTAATAAACAATAATAATATATGCAACTGTAAGAAATACGAATCTTAAGGAAAGTAAAGAGTCTGAAAGGAACCTGGCCCTACTCTTGCCAGAGTAGGTTTCCTTACGGCTCCCATTTCCCGCTCTCCCTTACTGTAATCCACAGCTCTCGCACATTTCTGATCATCAACATGAATGACTTCTTTTCAATTACAGCTATTTGGAGCAGTAATACGCTACAAAGAAACTCAAAGCATCAAACATCAACCATAAAAAAAGGAAACACCCATCTACTCAATGGGTGAACCAAGCCCCCCCTCGAAATACAACACTTGCTACAGACAAAAATGGGCAAGGGATGGAGGTACCTCGACAGTCCCCTGCTGAGGATGCAGCCAGAAGTGAGTCTCACTGCCTGCACAGGCACCGTACCCACAGCAGGGACCTTGTATCTCCCCACTGGAGACAGGACTTCAGGAACACAAGACGAATGGCATTTTTGTAAGTAGAATTAGTCACTCGGTTTGATTGGTTTGATGTAAAGTTACACAAAATATTTGGACATTTCAGGCTTGCGTTTTCAGTCAGCAGATACCAAAGAACTGCAGAAATTCAGTGCACTTTGTAAATGCCTTGTTGCTTACGTTAAAATAGTGATAAGCAACTTACTCCATCAAGTAATAAATACAATTTCTGAAATATTCTAATATACTCTACAAGGGCTTTTGTTTCTATGCCAAACACTCTCCTGCCTTCACTGTGAAATGAAATGACAGTTTATTCTTACTCACTCTTTATTAAATCAAAGCAGTATCATTTCATTAATCCCTAAAGAAATCTCATCTGGTGTGCATGCCTCTCAATGCAGAACAGACAAGCAGCATCATAAAATTACAGCATCACCAGACTGCGGTCTCATAAATGAGAAACTTCATTTTAAGCAGGGGATGGTTCTGTTTAGCCACAACAGCAGGCTTACAGGAGGCTGCTGTAATAGCTAGGAAAGACACAGCTATTTCTGGGCACCAAATCAGCAGCAAAGACACCAGAGCTCCAGCTCCGTAATATAGTTACAGTACAATTATCTGCTCCCACTGGAATTAGAAAGATGACTTCCCTGGGAAAAAAGGGCAAGGGACTTTCCAGGAAACCTGGGGTCTGCCTTTCTGCTGAGGCCAACAAACATGGGGCTCACAGAACCAGCCTTGGGGACCCGTTCAGTACAAAATGAATTGAGATTAAAAACTGCCACCCTAAAGTAGGTAGGAAACTGTACTGTTGAATCTTCTAGTGCAGTTTACCCTGGTTGGACCTAGGTGAAGGTGGAGGTGCTGGGTGCTCTAACCTCCCACAGACTGCGTGAGGACCAGAGAGTGCTCAGCACCTCCCAGAACCAACATCTACCAAGACTTCTGGGTACATTTTTAATGTCTCCACTTTGCCTTGATATGAGATTCTCCTTTGATTGTCAGATGAGCTGGCATTAGTATTAAAATACAAGCTGAAACAAAATCAGTGCTTCACAGTCCTTAGCTAAAAGACCGTGGGTTCTTGCACATACCGCTTTTCATGCCAAGCAAATCTCACAGGAATTCCATAGAAGTTGGTTCAGACCCAGTGCTAACAAGGCCAGCACTTTTTGATACACAATCCTACAGCTTTCCTTTTATGAAGTGGTAGAGGAGGGAAATGGATTTTTATTTTATGGTAATTTTTGACTGCTCTGTTTTTTAAAAGAGAATCACAGAATCATTTGTCTCATCCTTTGTGGTTAGGTAGAGGAACTGTTAACTGTAGCACGTTGGGGGCAAATTTCCCAAGAAGGTGTGCTGCACGCATACAGTCAGCTCCTGCACTGACGGCGGTGGCCAAGAACCCTCAGGAGGATGGAGCAGCTTCTACCTTCCTTCACTTGAATGAGTTGCAAAAGTAACTCTTGGTGGCACTGATGCAGGCTTCTGCCTGCAGAGACCTTGCCTGAATTCCATGGGTCGTGGCCATCCTTGCTAACAGTGTGTACCTGGCTTAGCAAGGCTTTAAAAATGCAAGAAATCGTGGCCTGAACTGCCACAGTGGAGGTGGCAAATATGCTCTTAATGTAATTCTATGCTCTAATTCTTAGCTGCAAGTAGGAGATTAACAGCAGTACCACGACAATCTTGCTGCCTCCAGCAGATGTCATTTGTGATGCCAGCGTCAAAAGAATGTAAACCAGAGGAAAGGCCCCCGAAAGTGACAGATGCAAGCATTTTCTTAATATCTACATTTGTCCCTTGCCTTGTCTGCGGGAGTTAACCTGGCCCAAGGCTTGTCGGCACGACGGTCGTAATCCGGAGAATCTGTGACCTCCACGTACTCGTTAAATCGAAGGATTCTTCTTGCCTGAAGTTCAGCCACTGTAGGCCTCAGGCTGAGCTGTAACCAGGAGGCAGAAAATAGTACGCTTAATAAGATGAAATAAAATAAAATAAAAGCTAAGGGTATGATGTAATCTCAGGAGAACTTTAATGGTATTTCTAAATAGGGTCACTTTCAGGTGTCTAAAAAAAGGCACCATCCTGGGAGCGCTGCACGGGAATGGGGAAGCAGCACAACCTAATTTCTTCAATTATAAAAATAGTCTTTGTTGGGCGGGTCACAGAGAATCATGACAGTTATCCCTGCAATATTAATTGTGACTTTGCAACTGTCACACCATTTACCCCACTAAGCAGTAGGTCCATTTGCATTAACGATTACACAGTCTGCTGTGTTCCACTACAATATTGAAAATAAACAGGATTTGGAGGTGCCTGCCTAACTAAAAAAATCATTTTTGAACATCTGGCGGTCATTATGATGCCAAATTGTTTCAGTCATCTCAAACAATATTCATTTTAATTAACTAAGGACGATGATATTAATGAAACTGTATTTTTGCAGAGAAGGGCAGACTAGGGATACGTATGAAAACTCCCCGCATCCTCTCCCAGAATGAGCTCCCAAAGTCAGGGCAGCAGATCCATAACTGCTTTATTTCCAGGGACGACCAGCGCAATCCCACGCGCAGCGGCCAAGACTGCTGATGTGGTTCGAAGAACGGTGAAGGGATTTCTTAGGGCTCACACTGCTTTACTTCCCTCTCCGCTGCTCTAGGGAAGAGCTGATCTACAGGGGTGGCTGCCCTCCAACACAGGTGACAGCAGTGGTTGTGCTCACAGAGGAAACACGTATAATTTCTCTCCCCTGCTTACACCGACAAATATTAAGCATGGCCAGACTCTGTATGCTTTTCCAGGTATGGGAAACTGGACAGGATGGAGTTTTCCCCAAGACAGACTTGGCTTGTACTTCTTTTTAAACAGATTTCTAATCTGGGGGCATGACTGATAAGACATTTGCAGTAATGTATATACACTGGTTTTTAGAATTTTATAAAAAATAATCCTATGTACACAAATACATAATACAAAAAACACATCATCACCTTTCTACTGAGTCTACGTTTTATTTCTCTTTTGGCTTCCTGTTCCTCTTCTTCATTTTTCTCTGTTTTCAGAAGAGATAAAAAGGAGTGAATATTTAAGAATTATAACTGCACATACTGTATTTCTCTTGGTTGAAAGCTTCAGGACTTCAAGTCCTGGCTCATGTTTCCTCATATTTCTGGGTGATTCTGCATGTGTTGTCTGTTTTTCGGATTTCGATCATTTCTTTTCCCTATCCTCTTTTCCCTTGACCCTGTAGACATCTCAAGTGTCACCACTGTGGGCGAGGACCACAGCAAAGAGGAGATTATCTGTCATTTCCTTTCTGTGTAACAGCAAACAAGAAGTACCCTGAAAGAGCCGCCTAATGTTTCAATTACTTGTTCTAACATTAAAATCACTGTTGCTTTTACTTCCGTCATGCCACCTATTGACTTTAGAGTAAGAGTCTAATAATTCGTAAGGGTCAAGAAAAAAAGGTTCCCCTGAGTATCTGAATCAGCCAAGTGTCCTCTACTACTACAGGATGCAATGAATCAACGACAATTTGTTTCATTGTCATTTGTTAGTGCAAATTGGTTTTGTTACTTCAATTTTTTTTTTCTGGTTTTATAATGCAGGCATATGATTCAGCATTCAAGCCCTCTTGGTCGAGGGCCACTAGCTAGACCAAATGAATGAGTGTGGCAGAAAAGGACATGTGCATTTTTTTAATGTATTCAGGCATGAAACTGAAAGGTGCTTTTAGCAAGTTTCTGTGCTAACCAAACTTGATTTCTTGAGTGCCAGTGAAAAGCACATTTGCAAAGGCATGTCCACATGGACTCAGCATTTTTTTTAACTGATGCACCTTTTGAAGAATATTACTTGCCCTTTCAGTCCCCCTCTGATGGTTATATGCAAAGTTAACTTTGCTGTAGCTGAAATATCCCACCTAAAGATACCTGTAAAATCCTGATCCTGTTTTATTCATGCCTGGGGGTTACGGACTCCACATTGCAGTTCAAGGCTAACTATAAATTTAAAGCAATTAATTTGTCTACTGTGGATGCAGCCAACCTGTGCAGATGAAAAGGCAGTTTTAAATCCTGGTATAGTCCTATTTGCCCTGTCTGCTACGGCCAGCCTCCTGTGTTAGTATGGGCAACCTGGCCGCAGAGGCGTTTCTGCATCATGACTGATACACTGGAGGTAACACACCGACAGAACTCCTCATGGTACCTACAGATTTCCTTTGCTAACTCAAAGGTTCTCATGTAAGATGAATAGAAGGGAAAGGGGAAGAGGAACAAGTGATGAAAAAGAAGAAAGTTACAGTAGGAAAAAGGCAATGCCAGCCCAAGACCTGCGCTGTGAGAAGAGTCCAACACCAACCCCCGGTTTCCATCAGCGTGATGCAATCGCACAGGCTTGCTGCCAGGATTGGGTTGGATCTCATGTTGATGGTGATTTTACTGAGGTACTGAAATGTGGTGTAATTTATGGTTTATTAATAGCTTTTCTCTTAAACGGTGAAGAAATGGATGGCCCGTTTCGATAGAACTGTAAACTGACTAAAACTGAAGAATGGAGAGTTCAAGATTAATATACATTTAAAATTTTTTATTAATATATCTATCAATAAACAAGTTGTGTGTATTTAAGGACTTAGGACTTTAAATGAGAACTCTTTTGGTAACATCTTCACCTAGCAAAATCAAAAGCTCTCTAGCTGTTTTAGGACAGGTAAATCATCTGTAGGCTTTTGTTTAAACATACTGTCTTTGCAATCAATAGACATAGTAACTGAGATAGTTAAACACAAACTATTAATTTGGGGTTCCATTTGTCTGGGAATCATTTGACGTAAAAAATTTTGTCCCTTCATCAACTGAATCGCCTAAGTCCTACCTCAGAAATTCTCCAGTAGCAGACACAGCAGAAAACAATGCAGCTGGATATACACATCACTGTCCTGCCTTTTCCTTAATTTAGCTTGTAAAATACATTCTGCATTATTCGTATCTTGACATTTCTTTGCTACCTAAACCACCGTGTCTCCTAAGAAGCGGCAATAAGATGCTTGATGTAAGAAACAGGGGCTCACACTTTAATGCATATCTTAAGAAACAACTACCAACAGCACGGCCACCTGAAATAGTATTTTTCTGTATTTTGGGGGAGGGTAAACTAACTCAAAAAAGTTGTCTGGACATTTAGGAAGGCTGAAGGTTAGCTGCCTCTCCCAAGCTGTGAAGCCACCTCCCTGTGGGTAGCAGATGACTGCCCGAAGGGATGGCTGGACATGGGAAACCACCTAGAAATGGGAGATGAGCAAGGTCATCATCTTAGCTGCTGGGCAGAGGGTCCAGGCAGGTCCCGGAGCAGACTGTTGAGGAGAGCTGGAAGGCCCTGCTTTGGAGGACAACTCCAACGGGAGGCACCAGGAGCTTCCTTCACTCCCGGGTAAAGGAGGAGGGGATGGAAGCCGTGGGGAACAGCCAGTCTTCTGCATGACAGGTTGGGGGGCAGGACGTGTTTTATACATTCAAGTTGTTTTACTTTGAGAAATAAAACTCAAGAGCTAAAGGAAAAGACTGAAATCTGGTGGCTGCTGCTAATATATTGAATCTGCTGTTTGGCCAACGGCCCTCCATCTATGGCACTGACTTGTACATAGAGCACCTATTTCCCATCGCCGGTTGGCTGGGCAGAGCGTTGCTTTAAGCTTGGTGCTACAGAAACACTGCCCTGATACAAATTCCTACCAACAGTAAAACCTACAGCGTATTTTTTGTCTTTTAAGGTAAAAGTTTTGAAAGTTGCCGTAGTGAGTTAAGAAGACGTGTGGTGCTAAAAATAATGGGTCTGGTGCTCCTGGTTCCTTCAGGTGTTGCGGAAAATTCCAGCCGGAGGGCCAAGTTTTGGCTGCAGGTATGAGCTGACTCACTTGCCCAAACAGGAACACATTAATGCATAGGAACACACTTCTGACTGCTTTCCACCTTAAAAGCAGATCTAATCTGTGTGATGTGGAGAAAGAAAACATAAACACCGCGTTCCCAGCTGCAAGTCCCCTCCTCCGATGTCCCGCTGCTGCCGTACTGGCAAAGGACCAGCCCAGGGAATGCCCTTGGCTTGCAGGAGTCTCCAAAACTGTGGCTTCCCTCCTTCCCTGCCTGCAGCTCCTAGGAGGTCAAACTGGGATTTGACTCCTAACTGAAACAATTTTGTTCAGCATCACTTATCGTGGTCTTCAAGTTAAATAATCCACCAAAGCTGAACAAGCAGCTTCCCTGGCATCTATACATTATTGCTCCTGCAACTTTTGCCATATTAAATCTGGTCACCTTCTGTTCCATGGGACACTTGGTTTGTAGCAGAAGGGGAAAAGTGAAGACAGAAATTGTTCTGTCTGAGCACGGCTCTGTTCTTGACCAGAAAGCACTCCCGGAGCGTAAAACCGAACTTTCCACTCTGTCCCGATGGGATTAGCTATGTTTAGATTTCAAAAAAAAAGAAAGAGAAAGAAAAGACAAACAAAGCGCTTGCCTCTTGCAGTGCTCTGGAACGCACAAAGTGGTTTCTCTTTCCTCGTTTTACAAGCAAAGATAACCATTAATATTCCTGAACTAGCATCAAGAGCTAACCCCTGTTTTCTACAAAGCCCGTACTGGCAGGCATGCAGGTGCACAGTACAAGAAGTTCACTGTCCCTTACAAATCCAGGAAAAAATGGTTATCTTAATCCAAAATTCCTGGAAGAATAAAAAGTTTCTTCGCTATAATGCAATACTATAAATACTTCTGGCTCAAAGCCAGTACACAAGAAACCTGTCTTTATTAAAAACACAGGGCTTTATCTTCAAGTGGACTCTTCAGTTATCGTAACTTTGTTTTAGTGTGGGAAGACTCAGAAGTCTGGACAGTTTTATGCAAATTGTTCTTATAGAAATCTGCCTGCAGTGTCTTGTGACTGTACTCGGTCACAGGATTTTCAGTAACTGGTTTATCTGGAAATATCAAAACAAAACTTCTTGCAAGACAGATTTACTCACTAACTGGAAATACAAAAAAAGAAAAAAATACGGACTTTTTCGGAACCTCTTAAAAGATCGGGGCTGAACTTAATCCTGAAGTAAACATTTGGACCTTTACCGCTTAATGTAACCTCAAAGTCTGATAAATATGACTCAAAACAATACTTACCCTTAGCTGCAGTTTACATACACATATAACCCCTTCTCCCCATCCACTGCTTAAAAATAGGAGGAAGGAAGCTTTATGAAAGAAATCCCAACTTATTCACAAAAGCTGCCTACAACAACAGAGGCATTTAAGAGATGTAAACATTTTCGAACGATCCACAGGAAGGGAATGTAATAATTTTGATAAATAATACGACTGCCTTACAGCTGAGAGAGAACTTGCCCCCTGAAAGGGCTCTGAGTCAGACTGTCACCACAAACCCCCGGCTTGCTTTGGTTCGCTTTGCTTTTTACAGATCCCTATCAACTCGAAATATTTTTATATCTCAGTGCTGAGCAAAAAGCAGTTTTGAATTCTGCACGTGCTCACCAATGACTCTGTGATCTTTTATGATTTATAAGGCTGCCTTCCAGCCTTGATTTTTTTGCTCTCCTTTGCCTCTTTAAGACAGGCCCGGGGCAGCAGCAGGGGAGGGCGGCGGGAGGCATTGAGTGCAAAGCCTGGTACACTGCCAAAAACTTAAAGTAAACAAGCTGAAACAGGAGAAGAAATCTATTAACTGCTTTCCAGTCCTGAGCTACTTACTGCAAAATCAGTGAAGGGAATAAACAATGGCAAAAGGGATATTAAATCCATCGCTGGTTCACTGCTAGGTTAGTGATCTCGAGATGCGCCAGGCAGAGAGGGCACTAAGGATGCCCAGCTGGTGCTCTCAGCTCAGTGGCCGTATTCTGACCCACCAAAGATGTTTTGGAATTGCTTTTCTCACATAGTTCAGCATAAGCAGTTTGTCATATACAGAACTGTTCATATTTCAAATTTTATCTTTATCGATGCAATCTATAGGTTCAGAAATTATAGTCTTGGAAAGTCTGTTCATATTACGTGTTGGACAGGAGTCCCCTGACCCCTCTCCTGTGCACCAGAACACATGAATTGTAGCTTCCTTTTTCAATATGACATGGCACTATTTGGCTTTTAAGAGTTTGGACAACAGTAGTAGGATTTTATTAACATGGATGGTTGCCTGAAAGCCAATAATTGCTATGTCTTCTTGATTTGCTGGCCCGAGCAGGTGACAGAGTGATCAGACCATGGCCTTTGTCAGGAAAACAGCCCATTTTCTTTCCTTCCATTAGCATGCTGCACACCAGGGTTGCACAGATGCACTCCAATTTTTCTGAACGATGGCTGGAAATAACAGCATTATACCTGCTCTTTCATCGAGTGTGGGAAGTTCTTATACCTTAAGAATACATGAGGTTTTTTTATTCGCTGCTATGAGTCAAAGACTTGCACATGCATTTTCTTCATTTATTTCTTCTACTTAAGCATCAAGTACCAGCTACCCTTGCAGAACGAACACAGGGCTAGATGGAGCTGGGCATGGCAACTGTTACAGTGTGTGTTTAGGTAACATCCATAGTATGGAAAGATTCATAAGGGAAGACAAAAAATGCCTGTTCTGAAGCATTTGCCAGCCTAAGGACCAAACCAATGTCAGTAAATGGGAGAACAGGTATAGAGGGCAAACATCCAATGTACTTCATTCCTCTGCCCCTGACTATTTGAATTATAGACTTAAATTTTTCAGCAGAGACATTGAGGAAGGATTTAATCAATGGGAAGATACTCAGTGAGAATGTCTCATGCAGGTTTCAGCGGAGAAGACATTTATGTCAGAAGTGGATATGAAGGCCAGGATGCTGAAGTAGTTGGCATATACCTGTTCACTTTCCCCTGAACGCTTCACCTTCCCTCTTTCTACTCCTCCTTCCAACCTCTGCCCTTAAATCCCACCTTGTCCTCCTACTGATATTCCCTCCTCCTCCTCCTCCTAAAAATTAGGCAGAAGTTTAACCAGCCTAGAAGGACTTCTAAGGGGTATCTAAGTCTTCCCTGGTCTTTGGGATCAGCTTCAAGAAGTGGGATTGTGACAAGCAAAATTCGGCATATTGAATATATGCAGTTTTCACAGCTACCATTACAGGTTAGTATACAAATCTAGCATTGCCACATTATTTTCTAGAACATCGTTTCTCTCCAGTTATGGATCTAACATTGCAGCAACAATGACAGGCTTCCATGTGAATCCAACATATGCTCACTTTTTAAGTAAATACTAGCTGAAACCTGAATAAAATACTTACGCTTCAGGATATTTCTTTGCTCTAGCTCTTCAGTTGTAGGCCTCTGGCTGAGTCTCCTGTAAGAACAAAGTACATGACTGATTTAAAACCAAATCCAAATAATACATTATGATTTGTAATACTGCTTAAAAGCTGTTTCTCATATGGCTGTGCTATTCTTTTGCCAGCAGAGGTATTCAACAACACGGGTAATTTCCAGACAAGTTATAATAACTGCGCATGTAACCACATGTTTTAAAAGGTGTACTATTGCCACTCAAACACTAAGTAACTAATACTTGCACAATATTACAGAAATTGTACCAGCAAATTTAAATTCCTCATTTACAGGTATAATTTTATAAAAGAATTCATAAACCTTTTTTGTTCCCAGTCACCATCATTGTGATAAATTGTGCAATCATAAGATTGTTCTCAGATATTTTGAATGCAAATCCTTTTTTTTAAAAAAAAAAATTTGTACATCAAATCAGTGAGTAATGCACGTGTACAATACAATATGTACAATACAATTGGGAGCTTTAATTGAAACTTAATTTTATTTAGTTACCTATATATACCAACTGCCATTAAAAAAACCCCAAACTCTGAGATACTAATTTTCTGGTTTGTATAGTGGAGAACATGGCTGATGTTGTCTCTATGTTTACTAAACGAGTTCACTTGCTCACTTGAGAAAAGGAGCAGTAAAATTTATTTTGCCGATGTGTTAAAGAGCGCTGCCTCTGTCCAGCAAACCTCACACAGTTCACTACGGATTATCTTCAGCCTCATGAAACCCATCCGATTCAAACTGTGCTTGGACTTTTAGATTTGGCGGGGGGTTTCCCCGAGGTGACCAGCCCTGCTGTAGGAAGTCCATGGCTGGGACCTGACCCGACCTTGCCCGAGCTGTAGGCACAGCTTTCCCATCAGACCTCAATGTCGCCCAGCACTGCCCACCACACCAGGAATTTTTAAGGAACTGGTGTCAAACTTGGTTGTGATTTCAGGCATGAGCACAGCCCTGACATGCACGGACATTGTCTCCTGCCACCAAAGCAGAGCTGTGCGGGGAGCAGGGCAGCTTTCTGCAGTTCAGGCCCCTGAGGGAGCACCGACAAGCGGGATGTGATCACCGGAGCTGGGATTTGGTCAGGAAAGCAGGGATAACAACCACACTGCTTTATTAGTAGAAGAAGAATGAGCCTTGGGCTCTACACAATAGATGTATCACTCTTATGGTTAAGGGATGAAATAACTGACCTAGCCAGCCACTTGGTTCACAGGGCAACTTAGTTCATCTTCCGAGTGCTGATGCAGGGCTACCATACTCTGTACTGGAGCGGTACCCAATACCTGGGCTACCCAATATCTGGAAATCTCCAACAAACACACAACATCCTCCAAATCTGTCTGGACAACATTTCTGGGCACAAGAGAAACAAGGACAGGTCTGGGAAAATCCAGACATGTTGCAGTCTATTCTCAGAGACCACGAAAGCCAAAATTAACATTGATGAGAATTTTTTTTAAAAAAGCTCATAAAAATGCAAGTGAAAGTTAAGTCTTTTTTTATGCAATGTTCTGAAGTCCAGGAAGATAAAGTAACATATATCCCATAGCAGTTAAACAGCATGAGAGAGACATGCCTCAGAGGTGGGCACAGTAGAATACTGAGCTACAAAGTCAGCCTCCCTCCATTTCTTTTGCCAGAACCAGCACATGAAGAATGAAGGAGTTGGAGAGCAGGAGGAGGATGGGGAGGGCCAGAGGGACGAACATACACAGTCATGCTCTGTGTGTCAGGAACTCCATCCAAGATGGGTACATACAGGTGCAAGTCCCTGATAACCAATCTGAGAAATTATTATGGAGTCACTCATCCTCTTTCTCTTTTTTCTTTTTTTTTTTTTTAAACCAAACAACCCCAAACCAGCCAAGCTCTCAGATTTGTTTCTTGCAGAAAAAAAGGGCATTATTGACATTTTAAAGTTATGTGAGAAATAAGGAAGAAAACTAACACTACTAGGAAGAAAATTAACTCTATCCCAGCCAAAACCAGGACGACCACATGTTGGGCTATATTTAAAATGTGAACCTAGTGTTCTCGATTCTCTTCCTCCACCTCCACCCAGTGAAACCACATTTACCCTGTGACTGATACCTCACTAGCTTCGTTCCAATCTGATGTCTGATTTCCTGCCTCTCCTCTTCGGATGTACGCTGCAAGATGTTTTTGTCTTCTAATTCCTTCTTAGATGGTCTGTTGCCAAGTTTGATAGCAAGAGTATCCCTACGACGAATTTTACTTGCCAAAGAGCCTGAGGAAAGAAGGAGGAGGGTAGATTTAGTTCATTCATGCTTAGGTTACAGACACAAACTCTGAGTAAGAACTTTAATACCTCCCCAAAGCGGCCTTGTTCCCATATGCAGGAGAGAAATTTTAATTAACATCAAAAGAAAAATAGTTTTAGCTCAGTTCACAACAATAAAAAGCTGAAAGGCTCAGATGAAAAAGCTACCAGCCAAATTGAGAGAGGAGTTTCACAAACATCACTTGTCATCTGTGAAGTGATACGATAAAAATGACAAATCTACACTCAAGTGTCTTTGAAGTCTGATACATTACAGGTTGGTTTATTTATCTACTTAGTATATTTAGCAACCTGCTGCTCTTTTTCTTCAGCCTTAAATGGTTTAGTCTCGTTCTGTCATCATTTCTCTCATTCTTTCAATTTTTTTTCCAATCAAATACCACTTAGTTCTTGTATAGTGCCTTTCATCTTTAACAGATTCGCAAGTTAAAACAAAACCTACAGCGTCGAAAAGTGCTCTGAGTGCTTGTAAAGTAACCTAGGCAGGAACCCTCATGCACTGAAACAATCTGTTCATCCATAAAACAGATATAGTAGGGACAAGGACCACGCAATTCTGTCACCGTTAGCTCCAGTCAGCTGTAGAAGGAAGGGTATTTTTCACAGCCTTTTGTCCTTCCCTCGTCTCTTGATATTCTGACCGAGGGGGCTACATATGTCCTAGGTTGGCAGATTTTCACCCTGTAAGGCAGTTTGGTAAGACCACAGGCTCCCAGCTCACTTCTCATAAGACACAGTGCTGCTGTCTGAATACACGAGGTTTTGGTTGCTGCCACTTTGGATCATACCCAAACCAAATGTAGAACTGCAGAAGACTTCAGCCTCTTGAGCTACCTGGCACTTCACCTTCTGCTGCACCAGTGGCCAAGGGGAAAAAAAACCCAAAAATGTTCAGTTTCCCTCACCTCCCTTCGGTACCTAGCACTTTCAGGTTCAGGCCTTCTTCATAGTGAAGCACCTCCTCCTGAATGGCTGTGGGCAAGGCTCTCAAGCCATGGTTCGATGGACATTTTCTTCTGACACAAGGCTACCCTGCAGGTGGTAGAAGCAGGGCTTCCCTCCTCTCTAACCCTGATAGCCTGTTGCTCCCACCTTCTTTGTCCCAACAAAGGTGCAGCCATCAGATTAGCTGGATCATGGAACCGATTCTACTGAAAATCAGCTCAACAACAGCTACCGCTACAAAAATCAACACGAGCGCTGGCCTAAGGGAAGAATGAACAGCTGGGAGCAAGGATTAGGCAGAAGGTGGGCAGCACAAGCCCCTTCAGCACTTCTGACTTCTGCCAAATTAGGGTGATGATATAGTCATGACCCCAGATGAAATTTCAAAGCTGTGAACTTAGACATAATCCACCGTGATCGGCTCTGTCTGCTAAAGTGCTCCAATGCTTAAAATATCATCCTGATCAAAGAGGAACACATGATTTTCAGACAGTGAAGCTGCTGACTGATGGGCTTCCTCTGTGGTCCACCACAGCCTGTTATTCCCACAAGAAACTCTGGCACCTCTAGTGCAATTCAGTTGAAAGCCACACTGATGTTTTGAGGGTAGAGGTTCATGCCATGGGCAAGTCAAATCAATGGCTTGCTGACGTCCTAACATGGAGGCCTTGTTCCATCCTCACGTTCTTCTGAACCAACCTGTTCCTCCCACCTCCACTCCCATCTGTGCAACGCTTGATCTGCTCTCACCATTGCACAGGCCCCAGCAGGGTTCTGATCATAACTGTCTGGGAGAAGCGGGACACTCATTTCTCAGTAGTGGTAAAATACTAAATCATCTAAAACCATCCCAAGCAGACACACCTCTCTTTACTTTGCTCTAGCACGGGTCAGGCATGCTCACATAATGCAATATGCAAAAAGTAGCCTGCAACTTCTCGGCCGGATGCTTACTTTCAGCACTTGTGTTATCATCATCATCATCTTCATCATCATCGGTGTACAGTATCGGCCCATCAGAGTCTGAGTCGCTGCTGTGGCTCTCTCTGCTACTTTCGCTCTCAGGAAGGGCAGCAGCATCAGAAGCCTCCCCCACCGGTTCAGAGTATGCCTGGTCAGGTGCCTCCACTTCTTGGTCTTCTTTGGTAGCCAAGCTGTTAATTCATACGCAGACGTGGTGCCACGTTAATGCAAGCAGCACAGAATGCAAATGGGACAGACTGTATAAGCAAGTATGACATTAAAAGTTCTGTTGTTCAATGAACTTCTTTCTAAAAAACATACATATATAAAACATATATAAAGTACGCAGATGTGTATGCGGATCTGTCAGGAAAACAGACGCAAACAATCTGGAATGACATGCTGCAAAGCCTGTATAAAGAAAAATCCTAATTCATTTTTATTTCCTGTGGGATGGGACCAACACTACATAAAAGCTACTAAGAAGAGAAAAACGGCTCATAAAATTGGGGGTGAGAGGAGCAAGTTGGAGAGTGGATGCAAGTGCAAAGCTTCCTGTTCTGGAAGCCTAAGTCTATTTATTGTAAATCCAGTTTTACTGCTGTTGAGTCCAAAATGTTCATGCCCATCACTGATGAACATGGAAATCAGCAGCAGAGTGCATTTCGCCTGGGGAAAATCTTTATGTGAAAGAAGACTAGAGCAAGGGGAGAAGCAGCACAGGAATGTAATGCTGGCACAGGTGTTCCAGCAAGAATTTAAAGGAAAGTCTCTAGGCCACTGGCATCTAGACTAAACCCTCTTGGGTCGTTAGGAAAGATGCTGGTTCTCATGGCAGGGAAAAGACAGATTAATAAGCCAGTTCCTTTTTTGCTGCCAACTATTTTGCTTGAAAAATGTAATTATGACCTTTCTCTTGACTATATTTTGTAGTATCTGAAACTTAGAGAAGTTATTAGGCAGTGACAGACCAAACACCTACCAAGCGCAGCCTGAAACTGTCATTTTCAAGTGCACAAGTGAATTCAGCTATTAAATGGAGAGCTTTGGCAGTGAGATATTTGACGATATCCACAAAAAAAGTAACTCCCCCTTACAATTCAGCATCATTTCTTGTTTGCCTTTATGAGAGAGTAATAGGAGTGTTACCAGCTACTAGCTGAACTGCTGACCGCAGGGCTGACATTAAGCCACGCAATGACTTAGGAAGCAGGTTATGGGCGATGACTTTCTGGGGAAACGTGTGGCACTGCAGGTGAACGGCTCAAAGGCAATGGCAAGGAACAAACTGTGCTGGGATGCAATGCAAACTATTCCCAGTCAGCAGAAGAAACAGAAGAGATCCCCGTGTGCCTACAGTGTCCCTTGGGCAAAGAACCGCGGCTTCCTCGGCTGTGGGTCTTACCACTCACCCATGACAACCATACCTTCTTACCTTTTTGTGTCTCCTCCACTAGCATCTGGACTGCTGTCTAGGGCCGTACTGCTCGGGCTCTCGTCCGTGCCATGCTCAGTCTGGAGAAGAGGTTTAGTAACCAATGCGGGGACGGCCGACCCTGCCACACAGCCGTCTGAGATGTCCTGGGCATCTGAGGGGACAACAGGCTGACCAGCTGCAGCAGGAAAAGGAGGTGGAGGTGGAGGTGGTGGAGGGGCAGCGGTGGGAGGAGGGGGGACAACGAGCTTGCTCGGTTGGTCTGCGTCCTCCGTTTCGGAAATTACTATGGAAGGTTGCTCAGGTTCGGGTTTTTCTGCCTTCACTTCCAACCTGTTGGCTGTGACACCTGAGGGGGAAGAAGCAGCCCCATCCGGTGCTGTTCGTGGGGCTGACTGTTTCCCAGGTTTTTTCTTGCCCCTGGGAGTCCCTGATGTGCCCGATTTGCTGGAAGTCTCCTTAGAGGCTTTGGGATGAGATGATGTGGACGAAGGAGATGGTGATGAAGACTTGGAGACTGGTGGTTTTTTTGCATGAGAAGAACTAGCTAAAATAAGAAAAGAAAAAGTGTTTTACAGTCTTGCAACTATGATTTTTGCATTGTTCTTTTGGCAAGGATTGATGTGTGCTGATTTTTAAAAAATGAAAAAATTACACTTGACACTTCTACAATCCTTCACCTATATGCTTGAGCTGAGTAAACGTTGCAGTTCAAATTTCACCTTTGAGGTGGGAAAAACTGAAACGATGAATACTTGCCCAAGAGCAGTGGAGGGGATCAACATTACAAGTGGGTCAGAGTTTGATTCTCGCATTCTGCACTGGCCCATTACCACTTGCATGGACATCACCTAAAAAATCCATTACTTATTCCAAACGTGTTTAGTGTCCTATTTAAAAAAATTGCTACCAGACAGAGAAAAATGCCTGATCATTTCTATTATGTGAATTTTTGGTCTGAGCACTAGGAGAACACCATGATTTTCCTTACGCTTTTCAATGAACACCTCAGGACCATTATGGGTATCAGTCAATTACCTTTCATAATGGTATCGCAAGCGCTGTGCTCCCAGTTAATGGCAAGCAGCAGCCTTGGGGGACAGCAAAACAAGATGTAATTTCAAGTTCAGCTGGGTATGTTCAGAAAACAGAGGCAGCAATCACCGATCTCACTCTGCACAAATGACGTCCAGAAGGGAGGAGGCATTGAAGGGCCTTCTGGAGGTCTTTGTCTTATCAGTGACCAACTCAGGTAGCCTTGAAAACATAGTGAAACAAGGTTTTGACCCTAGCTGTACAAGCTGGCCAGTGATGCTGCTGTTTAATCCTGTGACACTTACCATCTTGAAGCCTATATGTATAATGCCCAAGTTTGCAAGAGATTTCAGCTAGCCTGCCTGCCCATGTGCATTCCAGCCACACTGCTGATCGCTGTGTTGATGCACCCATCGTCTGGACTGGGAGCTTCAAACTTCTGACTTTCATTTAAAAAGCAATAAAAATGACAACCATCTTACAATTCAGTCCTTTTCATCAAAACGCATCCAACTCAAACACTTCTGCTGTAGTAAAAACACATTAAACTCCAGAGAACAAATGAAAGCATTATAAAGCTACACAGCAGCCTTGCAGCTAAGCTTAACGAGTAAAATAGAAAGCTCTAACAGAAATCTGCTGAAAGGCCTACTTTACTTATAAACATTTAAATAAAAATAAAACCCCAGCAGATTAGGATAGAACCAAAATACAGATACTGGCCATAACAAGGTCACAGTATAAAAATAGCTCTCACAGTGAGACTGTTCTCAGTCTCAAAGAAAATGGCAAATAATTCAAAAGACACATTATACCGTTCTCTTCTGTAGCTGAGTGTTATGGTTTATAAACATTGAGAGTGCTGTGAGGCTTTCAGTACATCTGGCAAAACCCACAGAAACTTCAGGCAAATCACTGTCCCTCTTTGTGCTGCAAGGTGACCGTACCAAACCTACAGATACTGCACTGATCAAACACACATCGAGTACAAATCACTGACTTAACTTACCAGCAAACTTCCTTGCATATTATTTAGCAGAAACCTTACTGAGTAAGTGGCTGGTAGGAAGAAAAGGCTCTGGTTCTGACCCAGCAAAGCACTTCCAACGCAGGCTGGAGGTCAAGAGAACCAGTTACATGCTTACACTTCAGAACACCAGCGTAATACAGATATACAGCCACACTACAATTGTTGCTGGGAAAATGTCAAAAGATGTTTCCATTGAAATAAAACCTGTACATTATTCTCAGAACTGTTCTGGACCCCCAATCAGATTCAGAAAGTTGACAAATTTCTCCCACAGAAAAACACCCTACACTTTCACGTGGGTCAAAAGTGCTGTTGCTACTCTTGCTTTTGATTGGGCTGGCGGACAATTTTCTCTCATGCGTCTTTTTCAGTAGAAGATTTGAATTCTGATTAAATGAAAAATTTCATAGCTGTTATTTGCCTTTTGGCACATATCCGTGCCTACGTTGTAAGTCCCCTTTTCCCAATTCCACTATTTCAGTTTGGAAACCTTCTTCGGTGCCCTCAGGAGAGCCGCCTTCTTCTTCGTGAGACTTGATCACTGGCTGCATCGTGTTCACTTTCACAGGGATCTGACAAACCTCATGTACTAATACTGCTCCCGATCAGCTCTATTTATTTAAGTATTGCCCCACTTCAAATGAATACAATGTACTTTTAATGTTGGAAGAAATCACCAGTAGAATAGGTACTATTTTATATAATGGATACATGAATATATTTTACACCCGTATGGTCTCAAGCATTGCATGACATTTCAGCAAGGCTACTAAAAGACAAATCTGGAATCTGAATGTATTTTAATTTAAGAATTCAGATACCTGAGAGCTTGTTACCAACCACTGGTACAAACATTTCCTTATGTGATGGGTTGTTTTATTTCTGAAAGGTCTGCTCTTATAAGATTCCCTCACCTAGGAAGAACTGAGATTTCCAGCTGTACGTGAAATACAAGCAGTAAATTCTGGGTTTTCAAAATGTTTATTCTTGTGGTTGTCTGATGTAGTAGGGACAGTTAATACCAAGTTAATGGATATTTTATGGCAAAGTTATTATTGTAACTCTACCAGTCTTGCAATGTTTTCAAACAGTCCTCTTCTGTGCGCTTCAAATACAAAACGTGCCAAAATGTACAAGCTACGAAGAGGTATACTTGAAGAGAAAACTGGAGGGACTGAAGGGCTTTCAAAGACTGACAGAGGACTGAAAACTCAAGGCTTGTATAAGTTTGCCAATGCATATATACAGTCCATTCATCACAATATTGCTTGTGTTCAAATTATATTTGGATGTTTTAATTTTGGTCATCGTCTAAATTACAACCGTTCAAACTCGAGTAAGTACCTTAAGAACAGCCACCTATAATCTTTAATCTAGCATCACTGCTGAATTTTGGTTTCAAAGAGTGGTGACAAATAGATTTGCTATGTGCCTGATGATTGACATTTTCCATTTCCAGTGTGTATTTAGAATCACAGCAAGCCATCAACCAGCTCAGGGAAGCTTGACCATTTCTAATGAGTTATATATTATTTTTTTTTCCAGTTAAAACAACTGCTACTCAATAGTCTTTAAAGATGTCTTCATGGTTTTATCCTTTACCTCTTTGAGATCTTGTATTCTTGTCAAATTAATTGGAATAATAGATATTTCCAGCACAAAGTTATAGCAATACCAAAGTAGTTTTGTTTTGGGGCAACTCATATGTTTGGCTTTAGAAGTCACCTTCTTCCCTGCTGATTCTTCACCAGTTCTCTGGGTCACTTTGTTGCCAGCATTCCCACTTGAACTGGGAATTGCATATCATTTCTGATGTGCTCGGTGTTGGGCATATGCTCATTAAACAGCGAAGTGATTTGTCATTGTCTAGGGTGTTTGCAGAGAGCAGAACCAGAGCTCAGCAGAAAGCTAGCTAAAAACATCCGTGGCATGCTCTTTAGTAACGCTGCTATGTACAAAGGCAGAAGTTACCGTACGACCAAGCCAAACACCCCCATGCACATGCACCCACCGTAACTGGCACTGCCTGTGCAGTACTCACCAGCTTCTCGGTTTGCACCGTGACTTGTTGGCTTGGGTGGTGGGAGAGGAGGCTGCTTAGCAGGAGCCTTTCCCTTTTTTTTAGCGTGAGGTGCTTCGTTACTGTTATGGCTGGTGGTGGTGGTGGAAGCAGCAATAGCATTTTTTGGTGGTAGTGGAGCTTTTTTAGATTTAGGCTTAGGCTTGGGTGGTGGTGGAGCATGGGATGCCGGGATTTCTGGGCAGTGATCAGTAGTGCTCTCTATGAATAAGAAAGTGAACAGAAGCCAACTGACACGGACATACGCCACGTACATTCAACAGCAAGCCTGACAACAACGACTACTTTTTGCTGCTTGAGCTCTTGGGAATCAGGAGAGATTTCTCCATCTTCTGCCTCTTACTGAAGTATTATCTCAGAAAAAAATCACTGTTGGTCTCAATTCAAGTCCTTCTCATGGAAGATTTTTGCCCAGCACTTTTCTCAGTCTCATCTATTCTAGACCTCCAAGGATCATCCTTAACATTCAGTATCCCCAGCTAGACTACTGGTTGCAAACTAAACAAGGGAAATGCCATCTACTCCTCTAACAAATTCCCTCGGCTTCCTTCCAGTCCTCTGAGATCAAGAGACTATAAAACTCAGATTCATGTGAACCTGAATGTGAACAGGGCCATTCTCTCAGCCATGGGTTCAAATATGGCTATGCAGCTGAAATTTTCCCCTGAAGCAACCCATTCTCCTAAACTGCAGACTGCTTGCTTATGGCAGCTCTATTTTGGGTGTCTTCCCCAGGGTATTTCTACTCTTCAGAAAGAGATGAAGCTAAATCAAATAGGATGTAATTTGCCATGGGAATGCTCTCCTCTCCCGCCAAGGTCTTTGGGTACTGTTACAAGACTGCAGTTTCAAGCATCAGCAGTTCCTTAGTCAATGGGAATTTGGACTGTATCTACATCGTGTCGTGCAATAGGAATGGCTCTGTAGAGTGAAAGAGGTAGCACTGAGGACCCAGTGTCCACAATGCACATTTCAGGAGATGTGACTTTGGACTAGCTTCAGGCGAGTTTTGTAGACTGTATGCCCAGTAGCGGTGGGAGCACAAGTTCCTAAATGCATCTTTTGGCTTAGTTTCATCCAAAAGAAACCTGGCTTGTGTGCTCTGCAAACCAAGGAAGGATAAGTGGGGATGACCAGGAAATTCACTTCAAAAGTGCATGCCTAATGCCAACTGTAATGTTAATGTAGGTGAGCCATTTATAGTCAACATAAAATTTTGCAACATAATCACTATGGCTGTAACCTCCTAGGTGGGAATCTTTATCTATTCAATTACACCAACTCTGGGCCCATTCTGTCTCAAGATAGCCTTCCCAAACCTTCCAGAAAAAGGGTATTATAAAACCAAGAGCATGCCATCAGAATCATATGGGCTTTATTGCACGTTACTAAAAACTACAGTGGCTGGGGAAGAAAGGAGCCAAGCAAATACTGCAAGGACTTGTAACAGCCTCTTTTATCACTCAAGAGGAAACCAACTCATTTCTTGCCGTACGTTCCTCTTAGAGCCTCACTCTTACACGTACTAAATGGTTGTCCCTGGTTCTCTTCCTTCCCATGTAAAAGATTCCCAAGAGATAAGCAGCACCTTTTCATTTTAAGATTAGTAGATGAAAAACAAATAATGTGTTGGAGAACAGCGACATTCTTCATCTCAGAAACAAAGCCTTTTCAATCTCTGTTTAAGGCTTGTTAACATGACCCTAATGCATCACCTGCAGTTATTAAAAGCAACATGCACAAGATGTCTCTTCATGAACTGAAGGAATTAACATTAACTATCCAGTGTCATCCTCCTTTATTTCCAGCCCATTATTGCTAATGTTTTGCAAGAACCATTGCACAGCAACCTTTTACAGCTTTCAAACAGATTCTTTCAAGCACAGATTCTTGTACTGCCTCTTTGTTTTCCAGAGAAAGAACTGTAGACCAAAGAAAGACTTTGGAAGAAGAAAGAAACATACATATTTGTTACATTTTGCTCTCCTCTTTTATAGCAAAAAGCATCTCCTTGTGAAATTCTACCTACCTTCATTCAAAGTTGAAAAACTGATTTAATTCTGAAAAAGCATGACATTTTAAAATTTTAATTCCATTAATAACAAACATGGCAAGAGAAGATAAGAATTTGTATTTTGAAGACCTTGAAGGACAGGATAATCAGAAGGATTTTTAAGTCTAAACAATTCTTTGATATACCTTTCACTTCTGGGTCTAGCATGCTAAAATTTTATTCACTAATAAGAAAGAATTTAAAACTTGTATACTTATACACCTTTACCGTGTTTTGTTTCCAGTCATATTAGTAGAGAAAATATTAAAAAGAGAACAATAACCTAGTACAAAGAAATACACCATTTACCATATTCTAAAATAATACAGTGCATTATTTAGAATCTCAGCCAACCTACATTAAACTATATAACTGATTAAATAATGTGTATTAGAATTTATCTTCTGATTCAGGAAAAAAGGTACAAAATATAAGGCTAAAGCTTTACTTAGTTGCAAATAAACACATCTTAGTGACAACCAATAGTGACAACCAACAAACCAATGATTTTCAAATTTTCTTTAGAGAAATAACTAAAAAACTATAAATGAAACCTCAAATTGGAACAGTTCATTCACATCAAAGTTCTTGCTTGCAGACTTCAGTTGTGATTAATACTGGCAATTTATATAACAGTGATTTTAACTGAAATACCTTGCCATCACTGCGGTATCATCTTTATCTAGGACAGCTCTTTCCATACTCTTACATACATCACACCAAAGACTGGCAGACTCTTCCTGCACAGCAGCATCCTATCTGCTCAGACAGTTATAGCTCTCATCCAGTCTTGACTGCCCCTTGAATACGTACATGCCCTCTTCTTGGCCTTTACCAATGAACCTTCTTTTTGCTCACAGCCATGAGGAAAGCTGTGGTGAAGAGGATTGCCTTTGACCATATCATCCCTCTTGGTGTCTTACTAGTTTTGTCCTTTTTATCTTTGTTAGCTTCACCTTTTTTATCTCATCAGATGTAAACCTGACTGCCCTCAGTGTCAGTCTGATCTTCCCCAAACTATTGTTTCTCATTTCCTCCTGAGATACAGATTTACACTTCCTACCTGACCAGTCCATTGTACCAGCTTTTGCCAGTGACAAGCCAAGTTTTGAAGTAGATGCTTTCCATTGCTTTTCCTCTGCTGCCCCTCAGGCTTTGCGCACATTCACTGACTGTCCTCCCTCAAATTCCCCTCTGCTGTGATGCCAAAGATGACAATTTTTAGACTGCTGGCATTGTGCTTGTTATCTTGGTCTGGTCCCTTCCTGTTTTTCAGTGCTTAACCACAGTGTCTTCTTTTTTACTGGAAGTCCATTGAAATTTATTTGTGGTTTTCTGCATTTATGTAAGACACTACAATAAATTCCTGGCATATACATAAATACTGTAGTATATAAAAATAACTAATAACGGCAACAGTGGCTTGATCTTGAACAGTGACAGGGATGGTCTGATAGCTGTAAATGGCTCGAGATACAATTATGTTGTAATTGTACCTCCCTAACATGATTCTGCTTGAATACGGACTCTTGGTCTTCATGCCTGCTCTTTCTTTTGCATCTTTTGTCAAAACAAGGAGGCATCTGAATCAGTTCAGATCCATCTATTTGTTCAAGCCAATCCCCCAGGTACCCCAGTACCAGCTGCAATGTATTTTTATTGCTGTTATTTTTCTTAGTGTAGACATCTGTTCAACATGAACTGACCTTCTAACAAAAGGTCTCCCAAAGACCATCAGATAGGAATACCTTTTATTCACTGCTGCTTTGATCAAGACATCTGCTGTAAAAGCAATCTGCCTAAAAATTACTCTTTAAATAGGACAGCAAAGCAAATGTTAATGTCCCATTAAGCATTTGGATCAATAATATGTTTATGTTTAGAATAATTTTTCCAAAGGCCAGATTTTCAAGAAAGATCACTCTGAAACCAGATTTTCTTGCCCCCAGAAATTGTGATCGAGGCCAGACTCTTAAGAAAGCTGTGTTCTCATGTAAACACCTAAATGATGGTCAGGGTTACAAAGCACTCAGTATACAACAGCTTTTCTGGGGACTCATCAAGTCTCAAAGACTTTCAGAGAGATGCCAGTGTGCCATATGCACTGGAAAATCAGATGAATTATTTTGGAAGCTAAATGTGGGACTTCTTGTAAACTCTGGACCAAATGGACCTATGAAAATCCTGGGCATAGTTTCACAAGCCATACGTGACTGGGTTGTACAATACAAGAATTTTTTCTTTACTTCTGGGAACTTCGAAGGAACTGAAGGCCAAAGCTTTTCTTCCCCAGGATTTTGTCATGCAGTACTGGTATTTTTGTTTCTACAGCTAAAGCAGTGACATGAAGCTAGCTCATGGAAAACCAGCAGTGCTGCAGCACAAGCATATAACCTACATCAATGGCAAAGTACCCTTCTCCTGGAAGACGAGCACAACTCCGCAGAGTAACACTATGTAAAATGGAAGTTGGAAATAACATACGATTTGTTGTCTTTTGTAGGATGACTCCCTGCGAAATGAAACTCAGTAAGATTTTTGAGAATCATGAGTTTCCTTTCCAGCCTATGCAGAGAGCTGTGTTTTGATTAATCAAAACTCAGGAAGCTGTCATTCAGAAACATGGGACACAGGGCAAGACAAGGTGTCTTTTGTCTCTTTTTTGGACTCATTGACTGTGCTGATGCAGGTGGTCAACTCATACAAATCCCTTCAGAAACTTTAGATTTAACCAGCTCCATTTTTTGTTCCTGCTATTGCTACTAAAATTCTGTTAAAGAAAAGACCCATTCTAATTGTTAGAAAGCTTCCTTTAATTTCCAGTCTAAATGTATTTCAAGCCACTGTTTATTCCTTTCTACTTGTGCCAGCATTGTCCTTTAGCCATGTTCTCTCCTGGCTATATACCAACTTGGTACATTCACCAAACGCACTAAGGCTCTCTCAGGCTCCATCTTGTTAGGCTGAACAAGAACAGCTGTCTTGCAATGCTTTTCGCAGCTCTCTCTGAAATTCACCTTTCTTGAAGATGGATGAGCAGATCTGTACATCTGCAGACTTCCAGATCTTTCTTACTCTATGATTTCAACAGCACCATACGCAAGAGGTCTTGTAACAGAGACAGTGTAGAAAACAGCAGAGGGGAGAA